AATGATTTGTCAAAGAAAAAACATGATGAAGGAAAAACCCATATATTCTTTAAACAATTTCATGGGTTAAATTTTACCTGATTATAGAGTTTGATGTCTGGAAACCAGCAAACGTGACTGGGAAATGTCCCAGAAGCAACTAAATTTCAAAAAGGTTTAAAGATATCACATTTTCTTCTATTTTACATAAAAAGTTGATGAGCAAGCCAGAATTTTTTTTTATAATTCATCAATATATATTTTTAAATGAAAACAATTAAATGCAAAAAATACAAAGAAGATCAAACATTTCTTCGTGACAAAAGTTTTTCCAGTCTGTTTTAATTTACAGAATGTTTGTCTAAAGAAAAAAAACTAAAAACCATTTTTTATTTATTTATTGTAATGATTTAATCTATTATTATGATCAGAACGTTTATCAACTCAAATACAGGGTCTATGAAAAATATGATTTCCTGGGCCCCCCTCCTAGACTCCTTTTTACGTTTTCATTATTTTATTGATGTATGTATTATTCAATAAAAGAGGGTTTTAAGGTACAGTTGTGAATCGTTTACTCGTTTATGGTCTTTAACTTGTTTTTTTCTTCATTTTTTTTACCTGTTTTGCCGTCTAGGTTGACCGTTCTTCCCTTTATCCAGGTAGAGCTCTCATCTTCCTCCCCGCTGGTCAGCACAATGTCACCTGAGGTCATTAAACTTTTAATTCCGCGAGCCAGGCGCTGTAGCTAGGAATTTGTCCAAGGGGGGGAGAGGCTAAGCCCCCACATCCCCCCCCAAAATACGCCTCTGCCGCGAGGTATGGTAGTTCATTCACCCTGGTGGTTTAATATAAGTCGTCGAACAATTAATACAGACATTCCTTACTTTGGAGAATTTCTAATATATGTCCGAAATTAAACTTTAAATTTCTTAGTTTACAAATTGAAAAAATTAAAGCTGGGGTCCACTTCAATCTCTGATCCCGATGAGATTGAGCTTGAAAGTACATCTACGGATGGAAAACAACAACATGGTGAATTTCTGCCCCGCAATCAATAAATCAACTGGGATAGGATTAATTTGTATGAAATTATATGGACCTCTGAATTATACAGTTAAAGTTTTATTAAACATTTTAATCAGATTACAAACTCATTTGTTCTCATTTGAGAGAGTATTCCTCTTTCCGCAGACTATTTCTGAGACTTAGTTACACATAGATCCAGACTGCTTTGAAAAGTTGGGTCAATTTCAAGAGTGGGTCGACTTTAAAGTGTCGCAAGGCCTGGACATTTGAATTTACCTCAATAATACTTTTTGTATGCCTCAGAAAGGTATAATAGACATGTACACTTCAGAAATTTTAGGGGCTTATTTTTAGCCCAGGTTTTGAAGAAGAAATTTGCAAAATTCTCATTGGTTTTACGAAGAGAGCATATGCAACCCTTGTGAACTAAAATAAAATATGTTGAATGTGTGCTTATACAGTGAAACCCTTGATAACGAATACATCGAAAGAATTTATCAAATGTCGTATTCTTCACTTTCTGATAATGGAATGTTGCAAAGATATCTAGAGATACAAATACCTTCTCCATTCTCCAGTCTAAACAGTTATAATACAGATATCTAGATATACAAATACCTTCTCCATTCTCCAGTCTAGACAGTTATAATACAGATATCTAGAGATACAAATACTTTCTCCATTCTCCAGTCTAAACAGTTATAATACAGATATCTAGAGATACAAATACCTTCTCAATTCTCCAGTCTAAACAATTATAATAGAGATATCTAGAGATACAAATACCTTCTCCATTTTACAGTCTAAACAGTTATAATACAGATATCTAGAGATACAAATACCTTCTCCATTCTCCAGTCTTAACAGTTATAATACAGATATCTAGAGATACAAATACGTTCTCCAGTCTCCAGTCTAAACAGTTATAATACAGATATCTAGAGATACAAATACGTTCTCCATTCTCCAGTATAAACAGTTATAATCTAGAGATACAAATACGTTCTCCAGTCTCCAGTCTAAACAGTTATAATACAGATATCTAGAGATACAAATACGTTCTCCATTCTCCAGTATAAACAGTTATAATTTTTAATTTATTTATTTATGAATGATTTTACGGGTTTAAAAGGTTCCATATAAATTGGAGAAGTTTTTCCATTAATAAAAATGTATATTCTAAACATTTTTATTCTAAACATTTTTATTCTAAACTTTTTTATTCTAAACATTTTTATTCTAAACATTTTTATTCTAAACATTTTTATTCTAAACATTTTTATTCTAAACATTTTATTATTCTAAACATTTTTATTCTAAACTTTTTTATTCTAAACATTTTTGCTTGCACTATGCCAAATTTTGACGGGGAGAGAAAATGTTTACAAAAAAATAATATCATCTCTTAAGGTAAAACTATTCAGAGTTTAAAAAATAGAAAATTTTAACGGAATACAGTTTTGAAATGTCGGAACCAAAACTATTAACAATCCTAGATTTAGTATGATGTCCTCAATTTTCTGTCTAAAATCGTGTTGAATTCTGCATTGTTCATTCCTTTTCTTTGTCACATAAATCCGCTAATCACTCTTACTTTAGACAAGAAAACGAGAAGATCTTCATATTTTTTTCAGACGAACGCGGTTTAAAACATAAATATGACTATAAATATAATTCAGTGGTAAGGGATTATATCAATACACTGAAGACGACTTTTTTATTTAAGTTTTGATTGTTAACATGCTTTTTTTTCGAATTACAAGTTTACAAGTAATCAAAGAGAAGCTTTTTTAATTGACAGCTTCTCTTGACTTCTATGTTTAAATGTATCAAGTAAATCGATGCTGTTTAACAACTTGATTTAAATCAAAATTGAAATAGAAAGTCGTCTTCATTGATTTGATATTATAGCCTACCCCTGTAAATAGTTCAGGAATGCACCCCAATCTTAATATGGAAGGCACGCACCCCTGACCCTTCAGTAAAAGTACATAAATCCGCTAATCACTTTTATTTTAGACAAGAAAACGAGAAGATCTTCATATTTTTTTCAGAGGAACGCGGTTTAAAACATAAATATGACTAAAAACATAATACAGTGATAAGCGATTATATCAATACAATGAAGACGACTTTTTATTTATGTTTTAATTGTTAACACGCTTCTTTTCGAATTACAAGTTTACAAGTAATCAAAGAGAAGCTTTCTTAATGATAGTTTCTGTTTAAGTGTATCCATGCTGTTTAACAACTTGATAAATCATAATTGAAATAGAAAGTCGTCTTCATTGTATTGATATTATAGCCTACCTCTGTAAATAGTTCAGGAATGCACCCAAATCTTAATATGGAAGGCACGTGACCCTTCAGTAAAAGTAAATTCAATCTAATGTCTGACCGCGTCAACCTTGAGTGTCAGCTTTATTTATCCAATGTCCGGGCGATACAGTACAAACTGGGACCGGAAAGGTTGACCCAGTTCGGAAATTTAAATATACTACGGCTCCCCGTGAAGGGGTTAATTTCATGCTGCATTACTGATAGTACATTGCGACCTCATAACTGCTGTGGTCTTCATTTTCAGACCCCAGAGGGAGATAAAGAAAGCTTGCTGAGTTGCAAATTGTTTATAAAAAAGTTTTTTTTAACAAAAAAACTGAGAAGAATTAGATATTCTTACCTGGGCAAATTTACAGGAGCAATATTAGCAGCCGGCACATATCCCGATCTTAAAATTTTAAATGACAAAATTATTGTTAGAAAAAAATGCATTGTAGAGGAATTTAATTTCCATCGAGGAATACATGGTGAGAACCAAATATATGTGAAATTAATTTCTTTGCTCCTTCAAATCTATAAATATAAAGTAGCAATCTCTGTCTGTTTGTCGTTCTATTTTTATGTAGGTACGATCATATTGACCAATTTGCCTCAAACTTTGATTGGGAAGCTTAGTAAAGTAGAAAATTAAGTGGGTTGAAGTTTAGTTTCCATGACAAAACTGGGTTCCCAAGCTATAGAACTTAAAAATGTCTCGCAAAGCTTTGGTGATTTGTAATCATTGCAAATGATAAATTCCATGAAAATGTTCAGAGCTGGGAATTTTTTTAATTGAATCTAAAATTTAATCTTGGATTAAAACATTTGGCTATATTTGTCCCTTATATACAACCCTTCATTTTTAAACTTGGCAATATTTGTCCCATATATACAACCTTCCATTTTTAAACTTGGCTATATTTGTCCCATATACAACCCTCCATTATTAACCTTGTCCACTAAGTTCCGCAGTTTATCTTAAAATTTCCCTGCAGCTCAGGGAGGGGAGGAAGGCCAACCACATCAATCTCTAGTCCGAACCACATTCTCATCATTTTCTCGTCCGAACCACATCGAAATCCTCGTCCTTTCAATATTATTTTTNTTAAACTTGTCTATATTTGTCTCATATACAACCCTCCATTTTTAAACTTGTCTATATTTTTGTCTCATATACAACCCTCCATTATTAACCTTGTCCATTATTAACCTTGTCTATATTTGTCCCATATACAACCCTCCATTTTTAAACTTGTCTATATTTGTCTCATATACAACCCTCCATTTTTAACCTTGTCTATATTTGTCCCATATACAGCCCTCCATTATTAACCTTGTCCACTAAGTTCCGCAGCTTATCTTAAAATTTCCCAGCTCAGGGCACTTTTTAAAAATATTTTAGTTACAAATTACAAAATTCTTTGCGACATGTCATAATTTCATAATATCTTTTAAAATGTAAATTTGTACATGGGAAAACTATGCGCACAATAATAAATAAGTGTGCCTTTGTACCTGAGATCTATATTGCACTCCACCCAAAACTTATCCAGGACATGTGTAACCTAAATTTTTTTTATGATTGCACTTTTAACATTTTTCGTAAACAAAATTAAAGTGAAAACAGTTATTAAAGGAACTGTAAAGGAAAAATGAAAGGGGGTATAGGCTGAAAGCTAATCACTAGCTCTCGATCGCGACCCATGAAAGTTAAATCTGATGTTCCTATCTCGAGAAGTTGATATAAAACTGTGTTAAAATTTCATTTTTCCTTTACAGTCCCTTTAAAGGAAACTTTTAGTTTTGGAATTGATAAAATGTAGTCTGTATGAGAACTTTGTGAGCCCTTTTTAAAACATATTTTAGATACATTAATAATTCAAAATCAAATACAATCTTAGTGTCAGCTCTAAATTCACATTTATACATTTTTATATTGTGATTGTATTGTTTGTTTCAAAATGATTTTGTAAAAATTAAATCATATATGTAAATTAATTTTTGCTGCTACTTTTTTCATTTTTCATACAGTGGTAGGCGATTCTATCAATACAATGAAGACGACTTTCTATTTCAAATTTGATTTATATCAACAGCATGGAAACATATAAGCATAAAAGTCAAGAGAAGCTTTCAATTAAAAAAGCTTCTCTTTGATTACTTGTAAACTTGTAATTCCAAAAAGGCTTGTCAACAATCAACAATTGAATAAAACAATCGTCTTCATTGTATGATATATTCACCTACTACTGTATATTTTTGCTGTGTATTTTTAAAATGTAAAGTGAACCGGTACTAATTGATAAAAAATAACAGAAAATGTCGAATTTATATTTATTTTAACCTGGAGATATTCCCCTTTAGTGACACACAGCTCTCCATCATTTGTTGTTAAAAAATCCTAAAAAAAAAATTTTAAACCCTAATGAACAACAAAATCGATGGAGCTGTAGTTATAATTTCGAGTGACCCTCCATTTAGACATTTAAACATCTATCTGATCAATAGTGTGAAAGATTTTGACGGGTGTTTAATTCCTACAATTTCCTTAGTTTTTGTAGAAAGAAATTAGCATGTCACAAGTATTATATTAGAGAACTTACAATTAGAAATTTAAATTTTCTAAAGAGAGTTCATTGAAATCTCGTACATTCACGATCAAACAAAGATTAGGTACCGTAGTAAATCAGACATGGCACTCTATGATGGCCACTTCGTCTAGAGTCAAATTTTAGATCAATAAATTGGAAAATGTTACGGTCTCAAACTCCTTTTTAATTATATTTAAATGTTTTGCTTTCAAAGAGGTTTGAAACGTTCGTTCATAAAACATTCTTCAAAATATTAAAACTGAAAAACTAAACGTTCTTTTAAAATTAAACGTTCGTCAATGAACGTTAGGTTTGTATTCTGTTCAGACCCATTACTTCTGTTGGAGTCAAAATTTTTAAAAAATGTAACAAAAGAGAACATGTGAAGTATAACATTTTAAAATGTGCTTTTATAAAGCCATCACGATGATAATTGATTAACCTAAAAGTATAAAAAATGTTTTAAAACCGAAGCCTTACACAAGACAGGGTTTTGTTACACTTAAAGGGACTGTAAAGGGACTTAGGTTTGCTCTTATTTTATTCATAAAATTTTTAATTTCTCAATTTTAATTGACAAGATGGATTTGGATTCCGGTTTTCTTGTTCCCGGATTTTCCTCATAATTCTCGAGCATTATTAACTTTCATAGAGACTCAAATTATTGCTTCTACAATATAATGAAAAAGTCCGTATCACGTGACCAGAACTCTAGTAATGTGATACGGACGTATATCAAAAATGAAAAATTATTAAATTGAATTAATAATAAGAGCTAAGTTACTTAGGTTCCTCTGCGATATCGTTGTTTTCAGATTGGTTGCGTATTCGCTGAATATGATCTGTTTAAACCTACGAATTTTATACAAAATTTTGTATATACCGATTTTTATATAAATTTGACACAGTTTTTTTATCAATTTCTCGAGACAGGAACATAAGATAAAATTCTCAAGGGTTTCGATCAGCTCCAAAGTAACTTAGTGTTCAGTCTATACCTGCCCCTTTTATTTTTCCTTTACAGTCCCTTTAAAATTGTTTTCAGGTTGAATCCCATAAAATCCATCGTAAAAAAGTCATAAGTTTTTCTCAGAATTCATCTGACGTCGTTTCCAAACGCATTAAAAAACAAAAATGTAAATATTTTGTTCTTCAAAATTTACCTTGAGAACACGAACTAAAGCTCCAGCTTCCATTTTGTTTTCAACTTTCATTCATTCATTTTCATTTGTGCTCTAGTCTCTCTACCCTCTTCTGTCTGTCATTTTCTTTGTGCTTTCTTCTTTAAAGGTTAACAGTACCATTTTTTTTAAGTACTCATAAAATTGCAAAAATATGAATGATAATTAGGTCATAGGAAAATTAAGAAAGGATGAAGAAGGGATGAAAGAGGGATGAAGTAAAGATAAAAGAAGGGATGAAGGAGGGTTGAAAGAAGGAGGGATAAAGGAGGGATGAAAAACGGATGAAAGAGATATAAAGGAGGAATGAAGGAGGAATTAAGGAGGGATAAAGGAGGAGAGCTAAGAAGAGATAAAGGAGTGATGAAAAGATATGTAGTAAGGATAAAGGAGGGATGAAGGAAGGATGAAGGAGGGATGAAGGAGGGATAAAGGAAGGATGAAAAGAGATGAAGGAGAGATGAAGGAAGGATGAAGGAGGGATGAAGTAGGGATGAAGAAGGGATGAATAAGAGGTGAAGGAGGGATGAAGGAGGGATGAAGGAGGGATGAAGGAGGGATGAAGGAGGGATGAAGGAAGGATGAAGGAGGGATTAAGAAGAGATGAAGGAGGGATGAAGGAGGGATGAAGGAGGGATAAAGGAGGGATGAAGGAGAGAGGGAGGAGGGATGAAGGAGGAATGAAGGATGAAGGAGGGATGAAGGATTAAAGGTGAAATGAATGAGGTATTGGGAAGAAATGAAAAAAGGTAGAACTTGTTTAAACGAAATAGGATTAAAAAATTCATAAACTAATAAAATATATCTAATTATACTATAAATAAGTAATGTAAGCTGTACACTGTGAAGTATAAACGGAGGATCCCTATCCTCCTTCCTGTTCCCAGCTGAAGAGTGAAAGGCCCACTGCACTGTAGTAAAACCAATCTTCAGCCTCCCTCCAGCCCACAGCCTCTAATATACTATACTTACTATATTATATATAGTATATATATGATATCTATTTATATATATGTATATATACCATTTTTAAGTTCCCCATAAACCAAATGTGAGAATGTAGGGCAATCCATCTTATTCTTCTCACTCTTCACTATATACTTGTCTTACTTTTTCTGTCTCTTCATCATTCTTTTTCCTACTCATCCTTTCTACCCTTATTTTCTACTTTTTTTCCCCCTACTCATCCTTTCTTATATTTCCTACTCATCCTTTCTTATATTTCTTATTTTTCCTACTCATCCTTTCTTATATTTATTATTTTTCCTACTCATCCTTTCTTATATTTTTTTAACAATTTCTCGAGACAGGAACATAAGATAAAATTCTCAAGGGTTTCGATCAGCTCCAAAGTAACTTAGTGTTCAGTCTATACCTGCCCCTTTTATTTTTNTATTTCTTATTTTTCCTACTCATCCTGTCTTATATTTCTTATTTTTCCTACTCATCCTTTCTTATATTTCTTATTTTTCCTACTCATCCTTTCTTATATTTCTTATTTTTCCTACTCATCTTTTCTTTTATTTCTTATTTTTCCTACTCATCCTGTCTTATATTTCTTATTTCTTCTACTCATCCTTTCTTTTATTTCTTATTTCTCCTACTCATCCTTTCTTTTATTTCTTATTTCTCCTACTCATCCTTTCTTTTATTTCTTATTTCTCCTTATCATCCTTTCTTTTATTTCTTTTTTCTCCTACTCATCTTTTCTTTTATTTCTTATTTCTCCTACTCATCCTTTCTTTTATTTCTTATTTCTCCTACTCATCCTTTCTTATATTTGTTATTTCTCCTAATCATCCTTTCTTATATTTGTTATTTCTCCTAATCATCCTTTTTCATTTTCATCATTTCTCCTATTCTTCGTTTACCTATTAATCCTTTTCTCTTACTCGTCCTATCTTCAAATCATTCTTTCTTCTACTAACCCTTTCTTCAACTCATCATTTCTCCTTCTCATACTCTCTCCTATTTGTCCTTTCTCCCACTCATTCTTTTTCTAAGGCATTCTCACTCCTACCCGTTCTTTCTCCTATATTAATCCTTTCTTCAACTCACACTTTATCCTACATATTCTTTTCATATTCATCTTTTCTCCTACTCATCCTTTCCCTTACACATCCTTTTTCCTACTCCTCTTTCTTCTGCTCACCCTTTCTCCTACTCATCCTTTCTTCTATTTATACTTTCTAATACTCATCCTTTCTTCAATTTATACTTTCTAATACTCATCCTTTCTTCTACTCATCATTTCTGCTGCTAATCCTTTCTCCTATTCATACTTTCCCCTACTCATCCTTTCTCCTACATACTACTGCTTTCTCCTACTCATTCTTTCTTCTACTAATGCTTTCTTCGACTCATCCTTTCTTCTACAAACTTCTACTTTCCCCTACTCATCCTTTCTTCTACATACTACTCCTTTCTCTTATTCATCCTTTCTTTTACTAATCCTTTCTTCTACTCATCCTTTCTTCTACTTATCCTTTCTTCTAATCATCCTTTCTCCTTCTTATCAATTTTCCTTCTCATCCTTCCTGAACTTGAATCTACGCACTGTAACCTTACAAAACCAAAAAGAATTTATTTTTATGAAGAATTTGTACAAATTTTTCGTCTGGTAATTATCACAGAATTATTTTTAAAAATCAATTATTGAATAAAATCAATTGATTAACAAGAAATTAAAATTAGTTCAAAGTTTCAAATATTAATATGAAAGACCAACTTTAAAACTAGATCGAATTTGCAAATAAATTGCTTACACAAATTGATAAAATGAGATGAAAATTGTTTGAATCATTTTTTTTTCATCGGTAAATTGTTTCACTCGGTACTCTGGGGGTGCTCTACTCCATGAGTCCTGAATCAACGTTGAAAACATTAGATGTATCTCCAGCTAAATCATCGATCTCGTTAAAAGCAGGATCAACTTCAAGTAGCTTAGTATCAACTTCGTTGGGGATGATTTCAGTTTCATCATCAACTTCTTCATTGTTCGTTTCAGAATCTACTTCCGCCTCTTGTTCCTGCTTTTCTACTTCCGCCTCGATCTCTTCTTCCGCCTCGATCTCTTCTGCCTCCGCCTCAGCAACCTGTTTAGTCTTCTCTGAGCTCTCGTCATCAATGTTATGTACAACGGAGGAGTGGAAGAAGAAATGTCCTCCGAATCCATCGGAGTCAGAGAGAACTGTCTTATTAATCCTCACCCTGCTTCCGTCCGGCAGAATCTGTAAAAAACGGCAATGTTAAATTTTCTAAACAATCCATTTTTTGTTTGTTTTGATAAGAATATATTTTATTAATAATGATCAGAATAAAATGACAGTAAACACAATTATAATGATAATAATAATAATAATAATAATAATAATAAAAATAATAATAATAATAATAATAATAATAATAATAATAATAATAATAATAATAATAATAATAATAATTATAATAATAATAATAATAATAATAATAATAATGATAATGTAAAAATAATAATTACAAGGTGAAAATTCATAATTTTTAAAATAGGGATTACAATGATTTATGATCAATTTCATGGTGTATGTTTTTGCAAAGAAGAAACACTGATTCGACATTAAAAAAATAACAACATTTTGAATTTGCTTCGTCGTATGTCTTCTATAAAAGTTTGAGAAGAATCCCAGTAAAATGAAAATTAAATTATTTTTGTTCCAGTTCTGGTTTCCTTGTTGCTAAATATTTCCGGCTGATTGCTCAAAGATCATTAAACCAACATTTTACAATTCAGGGGGGGCCCTGAATTTATTTACTGTGGAATAGTAAGACTCAAGTTATAATTTTAAGTAGTCTAATGAACATTACACAATGTGCAGTGTATCCAGGCCTTTTTCAGTTTCAGAAAGAAGTGATGCAGGGGATTATAAATGTGAGGAAACAGGCAGTACAATTTTGTATCTGAAGCCTCATCCTTTGTTTGTAACCCTGTTTATTGTTTAAAGGTCGTCTTCATATTTCTCAGTTTTACGAGTTTTATTAAGTTTATTTCTCACCTTTTCCTCATAAGTAGAGTTGTTGATATCATAATCTCCGTCCCACAGAGGATGGGTTCCATTACTGCTCAGGATAGACTTAATCACTGGTTTAGCAACGTTCTTTAGAACTCCAAACATCCTGCAGATCAGTCCACAGGGTGGAGAATAGACTTCTCCGTCCTCGACAGGAGCTTCTTCAGAAGTCCGGTCTGTTAGGACGGATCCAAGAATGTCCTTTAGACCAGTGTTTATTGATTCGTCAAAGCTGTTACCAAAGCTGCTCTCATAGCTCTCGTCCCCATAGCTGTCTCCAAAAGTGTCTGCGAAGCTATCTCCGAAATTGTCAATGTCGAAGTTGTTCTGAAAGACAGATGGATATCTAGGTTGGTTTCTGAAGAAGGGGAACCCGGAGAAGGGACTGAAAGAGAACCCGGATCCAAGATTAGGTCGTCCTCCGTGGACGAGAATAACAACGGGACGAACATCTTCGCTCTCATCTTCTCCATTGTTGACAACTACAGGATCGATCAGCTCAACGTCGTCATTATCCCCGACTGAAAACTCTTGGGGTCTAGCTGCAGTGAGAAGGAAGAAAGAAGAGATAATTATAAATCTCATCTTTGATCTGCGTTTGTTGAAGTCTTCTCTGATACTGGTAGTTTCCAGAACCAAGCACTAAAGATATATAGATAGATAGAGATATACAGGGAGAGAGAGAGCGCGAGAGAGAGAGAGAGGTATTCTCAGGTTGAGTTTCTAGCCTTTACTGTTCAGTCCAGCGCAGTATATAATATCCTGATTCCTGAACCCTACTCCAGGTACCCAACTCAACCTGGGATTTCAGAACTTTCTCATCGGACCGTGACCAGGGATCTGAGTCAGACTTGTTACTGAGTCAAAACATTTTATAATTCTGTAATTTACAAAAACATTCAGATAATTTTTTAAATTTATTAAAGAAAAAAGATGAATCAAAAGTTTTAAATCCCGGAGAAAAATCGAAAAAACTAGTTATTCAACCTGATTTACATGAATCATGATATTTCCGTCTAATTTAATTCAGTTTTCTTGAAAAGTTTGTCATGAAAATCAAACTCGAAATCTTTATGATTATGTAATTATTTGGAGCTCTAAGTTTTCTAAGAAACATAAAATGAAAATCTTTTTATATTCTTGCCCTGTAAACTTCCATTATGTCAATTTGTAGGTGGGATGCATCCCCAGTCCCCACCCCTTGCACCCCTGTCTTTTGAAACAAGAAGGATTAACTCTTAATTGAAGCATAAACAATTGATATAGTTTTACTTTTATGTATGCCATCTCCAACTTTCTTTAAAAATATTACATTTTTATGTATTCAATTAGGATTGTATGGAGGCTTATAATCTAATCTCTCCTGCTGCAGCAGTTTTTCATATTTATCGCAATAAATCGGATATATAGGCAACGCACTCAGGTATGAACAACTCATGAAAGTAAGTCATAAAATATTTAGACAGCTTCATCAAGGGTTGGTTTTACCTCTCCAGCTCACGTATACTTATTTCTATCCCTAGGTTTATACATTTTAAAAATGCAACACGCTTGTTTATATATAGCTTAAATTTAAAAAGGATTAATTAGCAAGATACTACTCGAATTTGCATATTTTTGTTAGCAGTGAACGCTCTAGATTGAGGTTCACTTGGAGTTAAGTCAGCAGTCCTATTAATAGTTAATCCTATCATAAACTTGGTTCCGCTTTGGCAATTTGAATGAAGAAACTTTTTTTGTTGATTTAAAGATCATGTTTTAAACTTTTAAAGTTTGAACCATTAAATAAAATATCAAATGGAACCCTCCTAAGACTTAAAATTGGACAATCTTTTCTACTTCCAACACCACTTAAATAAATATGAATATCTGGATAAGAAGAGCTTTACGAGGATTAGCTAAGTAAAATATTATTGATTAGTTTAAATCTACGTATAAAAGTAATTTTTATACGATTTAAAGGGACCGTTCACTTATTTGGGTAATTTCAGGGTAAACTAAACAGCCTAAGCGCTATTCATTGGTAATAGTCTTACTTTTCAAAGACATCTGTGGCCGGAGAAAAAGCCGGTTTTTCGTTCAGAATTTGAGCGCAAAGGGACGGTCCCTCTCGAAAAACGAAAATTTCTTGCTAACTCAAATGTCAAAAGTTTTCATATCTTAGTATATAACAACGAACACATAATGACATTAAAATATGATAAATTTAAATTTCATTGGGCTGTTGTTACTGAAAAAAAACATCAATTAGTGTCTATAGAGAGGGACCGTCCCTTTGCGCTCAAATTCTGAACGAAAAATCGGCTTTTTCTCCGGCCACAGATGTCTTTGAAAAGTAAGACTATTACCAATGAATAGCGCTTAGGCTTTTTAGTTTACCCTGAAATTACCCAGGTTACATACAAAGAATGAAGCTATAATTACATACATTAAACTCTTGACATTACAAGGTTAAATTTTGGTTTTTCCCTTGAATATAGTTTCTGATAGGTTTACCCATAGAGGATGAGACTGTAAAGACGACCCAATTGCACTCAATTGAGTAATTTGAGGGTTTATTAAATGATTAAGCACTGAAATAAGCCAGTTTAGGCCTACAAGGAACCCTGAATGCAAGAAAACAGACTAAAACATTTGTACAATCGTCTCTGAAGTCTCATCCTTTGGTGGTAATGTGGTATACTAAATGGTTTGACATAGAGAAAATAGCAAGTTTACAATAAATATGCAAAAAAGACTGAAAAAAATCCATGGAGACATCTTTAAAGTTGCATTCTATTCCTTTGTGGGTAACCCTGTATAATTTTAAAGGAGTTGTAAATACAAATAGATGGAACAACAAACTGAGGCCGAATTTAAAGAATTTGAGCCGCGGCTTAAATTTAAGCCGAGGCTCAAAAAGGTTAATTCCACTTAAAATTGTATTGCATTTTGCAAGATTTAAGCCGGCGCTCAATTGAAACCGGTTTTTGGCAGATTTAAGCCGCGGCTCAAATTCATTAAATTGTGACACTGCACCATGGTTTTGTAACTATTGAATAAACAGTGAACAATTCAATGCAGTAGAATCCTGAATTCAACCCTGGGCATAGACAGTGATAAATATCCATCGTTTAACATTAAAAATCAAATACTCTGATGTTTTAAACTAGTTACAGGGTTATTCACAAATACATTGTTCATTTAGTGTTTTATCTGACATTTATTGCTATCTGACTACAGCAAACTAGATTCTTACTTTGTTAACTTATTGATATGTACCTTTAACTTATTGATATGTACCGATCCTTTAAATTCTTATATATTTAAAGAGTCTTAACCCTTTAAGGCGTTATTTAAGTCTCATCTCTTGGGGATAACTTTGTAAAGTCTCATCCTTTGAGGTTAACGCTGTAAAGTCTCAACCTTTGAGGTTAACCCTGTAAAGTCTCATACTTTGAGGGTAACCCTGTAAAGTCTCATGCTTTGAGGGTAACCCTGTAAAGTTTCATACTTTGAGGGTAACCCTGTAAAGTCTTATACTTTGAGGGTAACCCTGTAAAGTCTCATCCTTTGAGGGTAACCCTGTAAAGTCTCATCCTTTGAGGGTAACCCTGTAAAGTCTCAACCTTGTAAAGTCTCATACTTTGAGGGTAACCCTGTAAAGTGAAAAGTCTCATCCTTTGAGGGTAACCCTGTATTTGCAGTTGGTCTATATTATAGCCTGCAAACAAACAATGCAATCACTTCTAATGACGAATTTAGTCCTTCAATTGATTCAACTATAGAGTAATCAAATATATTTAATTTTACAGTGGAACCCATAAAAATGGCATAGGAAGACGACTATCGTTTTAATCAAGTCCCAATTTTGACTAGTCCAATAAACATTAAACATTGTGTAGTGTACACAGACCCATTTCATATTTGACATACATCGTGACGAATTTTATTTTTTAAGTGACGAATTTTATATCGTTTTCGATCCATGCCGCATTTTTTCAGGAACACAATTATTGCAGTAGTCCATCTTAAATGGAAAACGCCTGATCTTCAGATTTTAAAAATGTGGTCTATCATTTTGCATCTTCAAAACTGATGGAGATATTGTAGAATTCCAATTTATTAAAAACATTAAAGAATTGTTTAAATATCCATTATCTTTGTCAATTTTAATACACGAGAAAGGTAAACCACTTTATAAAAAGTTCATAAGACGCACAGCCTCGGTTTGGTCTTTCTTTGCCGTGCAGTAAATATCAGAAAACAAAGACGACTTTCAAGTCGACTCTCATTTCCTATGTTTATAGGAACACCCCGTACATTAGAAATACATTTCTTGAAATATAAATGCTTGTGGACATTTTGTCCTTGATGCGTAAATAATGTAAATCACGTGACCAGAACT